GACGCGCCTGAGCAGGTCCATACCTTTCTTATGCTGGGGGCCCCAGAGCTGAATGTAGTACTCCAGGTGGGGTCTCATGAGAGCGGAATAGAGGGGGAGAATCACCTCCCTCGACCTGCTAGCCACGCTTCTTTTGATGCAGCCCAGGATACGGTTGGCCTTCTGGTCTGTGAACGCACATTGCTGGCTCATGTCCAGCTTTTCATCCACCAGTACCCCCAAGTCCTTCTTGGCAGGGCTGCTCTCAATCCAGACATCCCCAGTCTGTATTGATGCTGGAATTGCCCTGACTCAGGTGCAGGACCTTGGCACTTGGCCTTGTTGAACTTCATGAGGTTTGCATGGGCCCACTCCTCAAGCCTGTCAAGGTCCCACTGGATGTCATCCTGTCCCTCCGATGTGTCAACCGCACCACTCAGCTTGGTGTCATCCACAAATTTGGTGAGGGTGCACTCAATCCCACTGTCCATGTCTTTGAAGAAGGTACTAAACAGTATTGGTTCCAGTACGGACCCTTGAGGGACACCCCTTGCTACTGGTTTCCCCTTGGATACTGAGCCGTTGACTAATTCATTGGACACGGCCATCCAGCTAATTCCTTATCCATCTAACTGTCCATCCATCAAACCCCTATCTGTCCAATTTAGAGGTAAGAATGTTGTGGTGGTCCAGGTGAACAGTAGGCTAAATGTGAGCGAGCAGTGAAAGCTCACTGCCTACCGGGCCATATCAACAGGAGTGTAGCCAGCAGATCAAGGGAGAGGATTATTCCCTTTTACTCGGCACTGGTTAGACCACATCTGGAATACCGCATCCAGTTTTGGGCTCCCCAGTGCCAGCTAAGTGCTGGTAAAGTTGCGTGAATTCTGCAGATGCTCACTGAGGTGGTTGGGGGCTGGAGTACGTGATGTGCAAGGAGAAGCTGAGGGAAACTGGGCTTGTTCTGACCTTTGAAAAGAGAAGGCTTCATTCCAACCGAAATGATTCTGTGATTCTGTAGCTGGTGAGGAGCTCAGTAAATAAGTACGTAGCCTTTCCTGTTTTGTTTTGCAGAGTCTCACCAAGTCCTTGCTCAGCTGCTGGACACCCTGTTGGTGATCGGCACAAAACTCACAGAGAATCCGTCTGTCAGGATGAGGCTGGTAGAGGTAGCCTGCAAGGTAAGGCGGCCTCCCTGCGGCAGGAAACTTTTATCACTGCCACGAGAAAAAAATACGTAGTCAGTGTTTAAATTATTTTCATTTTTCTCAACAAACTGTTAACAATACGGACATTTTTTAACTGCTAGGAATCTTAGTATGATTAGTTGTTTCAAAGGGGTGAAAGAACAATAAAAATCCTGTTACTTCTATTCTTCTCTTCATTCCACAGCATCTGACAGATTCTTCCCATGGTGTAAGAAATAAGTGTCTTCAGTTAATTGGCTGTCTTGGACCAGTGGAAAAAGGTGGGGCAAAAGAAGTTGAGAGCCAGGCTGCCAAAGATGTCCAGAAGATAATAGGAGATCATTTTAATGACCAGGACCCTCGTGTTAGAACAGCAGCTATAAAAGCCATGGTAAGGATTGCTGGTACAGTGGAATAAATTGTTTGGGGATATATAAGGAAGCTGGTAAGGGGTTGCAGACTAATCCAAAGAGGTTTGGATTAGAGATTATTTACTTAACTTAGTAGAAGTCCATTTAGCATATCAAAATTACCAGGAAAAATAAGCTAGGTTGTGAAATATGAGAGTAATGTGAGATATCAAAGGGCATTTTAGTGATTCATAAAAATTTCTCTTTCAGCTATAGCTGAAGAAGCTTTTTAATTTGTTGACTTTTTTGAGTGTATGTAGGTTCTTTCTTTTACTGAGAAATCTGTATTTCTTCATTTAGCATTGTTTACCACAATTTCAATAAGCCACTAGTACACCAACACAGAATAGAAAGCTGCTCATGACAGGAAACCTGTGTGATAAGTCCAGAAAGAATTTTGTTTGGGTTTTTTTTTGTTTTTTAAACAACGCATGTTTTGCCCCATGGTCACATTCGTTGGCATCCTTTAACTGGTTATGAGGTTAACTGGTTTTCATGTGGGCTGGAGCGTGGGGACCCTTCAGAAGTTTTTAGCTTTGCAGAAATGAAAGCAAAGACCGTGTGCTTGATAATTTTGCTTGTGGGTATCTGGAAGTTCCTCTGTTACCCTTAAAGTTTATGACAATATCCCATCTAGCCTGACGGTGAACAAGGGTAATTTGAATTAATGATATTAAACGCCAAAGAAAGAAGCAGGATGCATTTGAGGAGACAGATTGCACTTGGATCTGTCTGGGATCTCCCTCTGCTGGAAGTTGCACTCGTCCTTCTTTTTCGTTTCAATCTGGTTTTTTGGTACAATTTTTATTTAAAGTCGTTTGAGTGACTTTTACAATGGCATTCAACCAAATCCATAGCAAGATTTTTGACAGCACAAAGTTAACTGTCTTTCTGTCATTTGAAGCACGGAAGCATCCTGAATGAATTCAGGGTCACTAACGACTTCTAGGGTTCTTGATCATGGTTTTCTTTGCTACTGTGTGTGGGTCTTTGGGGTTTTTTGTTGGTTTTTTTTTTCCCTTGAATTTTGTCACTGGCACTTGCTACTGTGTGTGGGTCTTTGAGGTTTTTTGTTGGGTTTTTTTTCCCTTGAATTTTGTCACTGGCATGTTTTACTTTGAAGAAGAAGTGGATACAGAAAAGCAACGGTTTGCTTTCTTTTTGACAATAGTCAACCAGCTATTATCCCTTTGTTTATAAGTCAGATTCATGATACTACTTTATTCCAGGTAGAAACAATGTTTAGTAGGACAGTTTTTGCTATTTGTCTGGTTTGGTAATTGAAAAGGTTTACAGGGCATGAAAATTCATTGTCAATGCTACTTTTGGGTCTGTGTTTCAGGAGTGGTAGGAAACTAATTATTTTGAAGATACCTATGTCTATTGTAATTGTGGTTGAATATGGCTGACACTAAACAATTGTTTGAAGGTTGGGAGAATGGATAGACAGTGTATTTATATAAATTGTATTTTCCTAATCAATCAAAGTATGAATGGCTGTCAAGTTTAAAAAAATTATACTGAAGTCAAGATGATTATTTAAAATACTTTCGGCCAAGATAATGAAATATTTTAATTATAGCAGCAATCAAGAAATGCAAGCAACTAAGTTTACTTAAAGCAGAAAAAACAGTGGTGAAAACTTAGTCTGTGTCACTTAAACCTATAGTTATACTTTCTTGTGGTTTTTTTTTTTTCCCCCTGTAGCTGCAGCTTCATGAAAGAGGATTAAAATTACAGCAGGCTATTTACAGTCAGGTAAAACCTTGTATTGATTTGTATTTATTTTGTACTTGTTTGCATATCTTGCTTTTTAGATTCTCCGACAATGTGCTTTGAGAGAAGGAGGGCATTGAACAGAGGTGGAGTATTTTGCACTTAGGTTGCCTATATTCCTTATTGCCCTATGGCAGTGGATATAAAAATCTTTTTGCATCTCTTTGTGCTTAAACGCACTAAAGCATATGCTTTGATTGGAATATATTGTTTATTGGGGGGAGATAATCATGGGAAGGGCAAGGCATTATGTAATTATTATTGTCATCTGGCAATCTCGAAGTCTTAAACCCTTGTTCATTGGAGAGTACACATTAAGCCTATGTTTGTTATGTCAATAAGGTTGCGCAGCTGAAGCCTGTATCAAATTAGTTCTACTACAGATTCACATTTCGTGCTTCCTGCGTAGTACAGGCAATTCTGGAGTTTTACAGCATGTGCCTGATTGACTTTATTAGGACTAGTCTACCTAATCAAACTTGGAAATACTAGGGAGTAGAAGGGAAGACTGAATTTTATCATCTTTCCTAACTGGTTCATGGTAAGGATACTAATTGCACTGTAGGAAGTGAATGACAGCTCAGGTGGAGATGTTTCAGGTATATTGGACTGTGAACCTTCTTTCAGGCCTGCAAGCTGTTGGCAGATGATTATGAGCAAGTGCGCAGTGCTGCAGTTCAGCTAATTTGGGTCCTCAGTCAACTTTACCCTGAAAGGTATGTTCTGTATGCAAAGTGACTCAAAGTATTGGCATAGTAATCGTCCTAATCCCAAGAGTTTTGTGCCAGCAAGTCTCAGGAGTAGTTGTTAGAAAACTGACGTGTACAGATTGCTGATACCTGATAGGAATGCACTGATCTGGATGAAGTTTTGGTTCTTGATATTTGTTGCACATCCATAGGAGTTCAGCATAGTTATTTCTTGTTTGATGCCATCCAGCATGGCGTAAGATCAACATACTGGTTTATGTTTCTCTATGTTAGCATCGTCCCGATTCCTTCTTCTAATGAAGAAATTCGCTTGGTTGATGATGCATTTGGAAAAATTTGTCATATGGTTAGCGATGGTTCCTGGGTTGTTAGAGTACAAGCTGCTAAGTTATTGGTAAGTTGCATTCTTTTCTTCTCTATCTAAAAATAGTTCATCCTATCTTATTTTCTTTTCATGTATATTTGAAAAGAAGTGGGAGGATGTTTAAAAAGTGTGTAGGTAAATTTCTACCAAAATTCTGAGAAGAAAGAAATGAGAGAGATTGAGGAAACCCAAAAGTTTCTCAGCTGAACTCTGCAGTGATTCTGTCCTTGAGCGTAGAGGGTTGGGTATCCAATAAAAAACAAGTACTTGTTGTAATTCCCTCCCGCTCCTTCTCCAGCACAGGACGTGTAAACCAACTGAACTCAAGAAAGACCATATTAACCACAGTGGGGAAAATGAGATGTTCTGACCGTCTGAAGTAAACTTCTTTAAATTCTGACATATGGTAGTGTCAAGCATTGTGTAAAGCTATTAGAATGAGAGGGTAAGATTGGACGCTGTTTTAGGTTAAATCAGGAAATTATATGGTGTAATTTAGAATAATCCTGTTTCTTCCTTTTGATATATTTTTTTTTCCCCCTCTTTAGGGTTCTATGCAACAAGTTAGCTCCCATTTCTTAGAGCAGACCCTTGACAAGAAGCTCATGTCAGATCTGAGGGTATGTAAATGTTTGGTTTTGGTTTTGGTTTTTTTTTTGTTTTTGTGTAGTGTACTAAAATTGCACAACAGGTATGTTAATGTTGAGTGTGTTTCTTTACCATGTCCTTGCCTGAGGGCTGCTAGAGTTAATTGATGATGACAGGTTTTCTTTTAGATTAAAGTCATTGAAGCAATTGCTAGTTTTAGATTTCATTAGCCGAGCATGTAATAAACAGCTCTAGGCTATTCAGGTTTCGCAGATGAGAGGTAAACGTTTGTGTTCTTCTGACAGCCTTTTGGCTAAAAGCTTTATTTATTGCGTACGGAAAGATTGCATCCTAGTTTTAGGAGCAAGGGTATGGAAAATTCCTGCAAGATCCGACCAGTAGGCCTAGACATTTCAAGAGACATGAGTAGTTAGAGGCTGGGACCCCCGAGCCCTATGAGCAAAACTTTTCAGTAAAATTCCTTCCTTAAGCAACTCGCTCGAGGTATTATGTTCAGTTTTCCTGTCTACAAAAGAATGAGGGAAGCTAGAGCTGCTAGTTTTTGTGGGCTGCTTTGTAAAGTCTGTTAAAGAACTGCACAACTTTCTTTACAGTGTGGGGGGAAAGGAGATGGACCAGTGAGAATGCTGAGTGAATATCGCATTTTACACATTGCTGAACACTGTATAGTATCGATAGTCATTAAAGTATTTAATTGCAGTTTAACAAGTTGAACTGCAAAGTGATAGCATCTGGTTTTGCAGATCAGTTATGGCATACTTAACTAGACGGGCCTTTGCTCTGACCCAGTTTGGCTGTTCTTATAATGGCTGTCTAAGAATATGTTAATTAAAATGTATTAGTTATTATCCTTTCCCAACATCAAAAGTACAAAGAGTTACTGGCAATTAAAAATACTCATAGAAGAGAAGTAATTATTTGCTTTTCCTAGCATTTGCCTGTCTCTGTCAATGTCTAAGCCTCTAGCTACGTCTATTTTCAAATCCAGTAAAACCATTTAATATTTTGTTTGGTCATCTTTAAAGTTTACCATGGTTGTAACTGAAAAACTTGTTTGGACAGAGGAAGCGCACTGCGCATGAACGAGCCAAAGAACTCTACAGCTCTGGGGAGTTTTCAAGTGGCCGAAAGTGGGGAGATGATGCTCCCAAAGAAGAAATTGATACAGGTGCTGTAAACTTGATTGAATCAGGAGCTTGTGGGGCTTTTGTTCATGGCCTGGAAGATGAGATGTACGGTAAGTGTTAACTTACTATGGAATGACTAAAGGAGGAGATGTGTGCTGGCTAATAAGCTTTGTTTTTTGGGGTTTTTTTTGGTCAAAATAGATCACTTGGCTATTGTGTTTGGGTTTTTTTAACAAATCGTGGACTTCAGGGTGGTGGGTTTTTATTCCATTGTGATCTCTGATATGGCATTTGTTTCAAAAGTGCTACAGTGTTACATGGATATCTCGCCTTATCTTACAGTCGGGTCAGTTTTTTTCTAAATGGAGCAAGGAAAACTGATGTGGGAAGACAACCTGGAAAAAATAGTAAAATCAAACAACAACAGATCTCAATGTTGCACAGAATTTTGGGTAGAAATGTTCCATTGAGTAGCCAAAACCAAATAGTTTCCTATAAATGGTAAAGTTTTAGTATAATATCTGGTAAGAAGTGGTTGAAACCCACAGAAACCCACAAGGATTATTTTTTTTTTTTCTTTATTGACTTAAATTTAACAGTTGCATGTGGCTCTAAGTTGGCAACATTAGTTGCTGCTGTTTGAAATTGGTGTTTCCTCTGCAGGAAGGAATATCAAATTTTATAGAACTTGTTGTTTAAAACATGGCACTACAAGGAAACTGTGTCCATGGAGCACAGTAATCATTCATTTTGTAAACATAGCAGCTTCTAACAAAGATTAGAACTAGCGGAGACAAACCCACATATTTTTCAAAATATTTCAGAATCCACCAGCTCCAACAAACAGAAGTTTTCTTTTAATTTCCAACTCAATTTTTTCCATGGCCAATTTATACTCATTTGTTCTTAGCCAGTGTAGGTTTCAGATTAAATAGTTGCTGCTTCTCTCAGGGACTGGCTTCCGTAATGAATTAATAGACAGCTTTCATTTTGCAAGGGGCTAAACAGGCAAGGCTCCTTTTAGTCTCTGCTGCTATAAAAGCTTTCGTCTTGGCTAGTTAGGCTGTGTTATTCTTGAAAACTGGTGAGTAGATCTGTATATTTTCAGGTACTTAAATTTCAGGTGAGGTCTTGCTTACCTCTTTAGCAATGTTATTGATAATTCTTTTTCTTTAATGAAAATACCTATGTTCTAAGATCACATTTACCTGTTCCACAGTGCTGCTGTTTTGATCTCTTCAGGTCTTGCTATGATGGATTTGGAGGCTGTAGTCTCTTTCCAGCAGATTAGATCTGATCTATTCTTCTAAGCAGGGTGAATTAAGAGTGTCAAACTGGAACACAGGCATTCCT